GGAGGAGGAGGAGGAGGAGGAGGAGACTCTCCCTAGTTTCTTGGGCTGTAAAGCAGGCCAGCAGGCAGGTAAGCAGCTGCTGCCAGGTGAGGGAGAGCGTGCAAGGGGGTGGGGGGGGCTGGCAAGATGTGGCACAAGCATGGTGGGGCTTAGAGTGGCTGTTGGCAGGTGGGGGAGACTTATCAGAGCAACTTGCAAGTGCTATTGCCATGACATTGCTGAATGCCATTCTCCCCTGGCAGTGAAGCCAGTGAGTGATTATGTTCTTAATTAAGTTTTTAATGAGAGAAAATAGGAAACATAATTTATGGATCCCCTAAAAGAATCACAAATTATTCTCCCTTTGGGTTGGGGAGGAGGTGAGTTTTCACATACCTCCTGTCTGTCAACCCTGATTCAAGGGTCTAGCCTGGTAAAACAGGAGAGGCTTTGGTGGCAGAATGGGGCTGTTGTGTGCAAAGAACTCCCTCCCACTTCAGCCAGTGTTCTCCACCATCTGACCTGCCTGTGCGTCAACTTCTTTTTATATATATATGACTAGAGCAGTCTCAGATGATTGGTTAGATAGATGGTTAGATCCATGTAGTTAAGGATCCTATGTAATGCCTGATTAGCGTTTTGTCAGACATCAAATGAGCAGGTGCCCTGCATCCAATCTCCTGCTGCCTGAGCCAAAATGTCCCTTGAGGAAGAAGCATGGCTGCAGCAGCTAATAGAAGATGGGTAAATCATACACCTTGACCATGTCATTGCCAAGATGCTGCCAAAATGCCTGAAATCGTACAAACAGCAAGGCTTTTGTTGGGAGGAGATAGAAGACACCTCATCAGCTAAATAGCAAGTCAGGTGGCCTCTGCTATGGGCAGAAGATGAGATGAAGGCTGGGTCAAGGGAATGTGTCTTGATGGAATGGTTAGGAAGGCATTTCTGAGCCACTATTAGGCTATAGATTGGTCTTTGGAATCATCCAACCATTCAATAAAAACAGGCTTTCAATCAGAATTTAGGACAGAAGATGCTTTCTTGTTCATTGTAATGGGGTTGTAACGGAATGGAGGCTAGGCAGGATTGGGGCACGCGCAAGCATTGAAAATACAGAAATAAAATTAAGGCATTGCAAATTTTTATTGAGCAACAGAGCAGAAGCAGAATAAATGTTACTATAGAGATGCTATGAGCAAAGTATGAAACATTTCATTTTTTTAATAGTAAATGTTCTTTAGTCTTCTGCATTTTCACGTCACTTGCATTTCCCCATATACAGCAGCTGAAGGCTTTTACCCATTTTCCTGAGGAAAGAAAGCAAAGGTGAACGTGAAACGTGAGAACCAAAGGCATGCAGCTACCTTCATTGCCTAGGAAACAGGAAGAATATAATATACCTGAATATACCCCAGCAAGATAACCTGGAATCTCTAGAAATTGGTCACTACAGCTACATTTCCTTCTCCCACCTAATGTTAGCAAAATATTCTACTTGATACCACTGCATAATATATCTATGACCAAAAATGCTTTCTGAGTAAATATTCATGGCCTACTTGAAAAAAGGATCAGTTTTAACGCTTCTTTTTTAAAACCAAGAATTCCAGGGCTGCCTATGCAACCCTATACTTACACATATGCATTGCAGAAACCACACCTGTTGCCATAAGTGTGGCCGTTGGAACCACAGTGAGGCTCGTACTCCAGGGTGCATATATCGCTTGGGTACCCCTGACAATAATCCTGTGGGAAAAAGCAAACTATTCATTTTGCAGGCTTAGTGCACCTTTCTTTGCAGTTAGACAGCAACTATCAACATACTTTGTGCATGTACTGTAATTGTATGACCAACAGGCACCTGTTATTTTCTGGTAAAACTGTAATTTTGTCTTCTGTGACAAGCCCAGTGATCATCTGTTATAGGTGGGCCTCCCTGTTCCCTATAATGGCCATTTCTCATCAGTGACACTAGAAGATGGATCTTGTGTTTTTAGGAATTATATTTTACCATAGTCATATTGCCCTTCAGCCACAGTCAGAATAGTTTATAAGTGCCCTCCTATCAGTATTAAGATACATATACTAAGAACATGAGATGAAAGTAAAAGAATCATAAAAACAGCCTAAAACATTGTTTAGTTTATTACATTTTAGGGTTGTCTATTTTCTAAACTTTTCTTGAAGGATTTTTGTACTTTAAAGTTAGGATAAATATAATTAATAAATAAATACTTGTATTCTAAACAGATTTTCCCTGCACCATTCTCTCTGACACAGCATTATCATTATCAAGTAGCATCACTAGAATCACTAGCGTTACATCAAGAGAACTTCATTTAATAATAAATACTTGCACTTACGTCTAGATCTTTTATTTTAGCAGCAACATCTGAAACAAAAACATCCAAATGTAAATATTTAAAGCAATCCATATAATCTTATATTTCATTCTTTTTATCTAAGAAGATATGTATTTGTGTTGGTCTGTATCTTATTTGTCTCTCTAGCAGTCTTCATTTAAAAATCACTGTCTACCTGAACTAAAATGGACAAATCAATGCAAAATTCTATAAGCAATCAACAGCAATAGTTAAGCTAATTTGGGGTATCATTAAATATATTCAAATCCAAGCTAAATGGGATCCAATCTTTTTTATTTCTGTAGACCTTCTGATTCCATTGTAAATTCTTCCATTGCCCCAAGGCCCACTGTACTTACAGAGATTGTCAGGCAGTATTGGGAAGGGTGACAAGTGGTATGTTGAGAAAGAATCCTCAAATCTTATGATATCATAAACCCTTAAATGATACATGAATTTATGTAACTCATTTATGAATTATACTCAAATTCATAATTTCATGATTTATTTACTAAACAGTAAATAAATCCACTATGATTAGTTTATGGTTTGGTAGATGGCCAGATTCACAGGTTTAGTAATCTCCCTAAAGTCACTTTAGGGAGATTGGCACTTGCAGGCCTGATCAGCTTTAAGAACAGATAAATCTACTCTCTAAGTTGGTCAAAACTTCCCCAAGGCTTGTGACCCACAGTCTGAGAACCCTTGGGGTAGAGGATCTTCCAGTGATTCAGTCTACTTACTGTACATGAGCAGTCTCTTCTTTTAATTTAGTCCTAATATGGAACCCACTGAGACAGGAATTTCCTATGGAAGTAGGCTTGAGGATGTATGAGTACTGGGTTTTTTTTCTTTCTGGATAGCATATATAATAGGATGTGAATCCTCAAAGCAAAACTCTCAAGAAAGACTTCTCTTAAATTTGCTGGTCAATGACCAAATAAAGATGTATTCTGTTCTGTTCTGAAGAAAGAAAAAGTTGCAATAGGAAATCTGACTCACCTGAAAACAAGAACGCCACCATCAGGGTGAACAGCAGAAAGCCTGCACACTTCATGATTGTGTTAGTGGGGCTTGGTTGTGGTAGCAATCTTCTGAGCAGTAGATGCTGAAGGTGAGCCCTCAAAACCCTCATCTGTTACCTGGGTATTTATGCATGTCTCTGCTACCTTGGTGATGTAATCTCTCCCTCCTTGCAGATGGAATTCCATGTGTAAATAAGATCTTATAAAAGTCTGTGATGTACTGATCTGAAATTTCCTTTTTTGTGCAAGTTCAGAATGCAAGAAATGTATGGCAATCTGTATGCCCACAAACAATAAGAAAAGTAAATTATTCCCTGTGAACGTACGTCATAGCTAAGTTAAAAATTACATACTATTGTTCTCAGGACATCAGTGTGAAGAGATTTTAAAAGACCTACTGAAATATTCTCACATAAAATAAAATAAAGTAAAATAAAATAGTAAATTAGTAGATAGGTTTCCTAGATAAAACTGATATAATCCCCTGGCTGTAGTAGCAAATTGTACCTATTCCTGATAACATTCTATCAGTAGTATTAAATAAAATCTCTTTTTAAATTTCTTGAGTTAGTGGTGTCATTCCATATAAAGTGAGCCAGATAATGGATCTCAGTTCTTTCTCGATGGAACAATAATTGTCTATTATTTATTCTAATGAAAAGCGTTTTCCTTGAACCACAAGCTTTGAAACTCAAAAAGGGTCAGATATTCATATGAATTTCATTTCAAGCCCTTAATGCTTTCTTGTTTCTTTTCAACTGATTGTTGAATTACAAAGGAGGTTTCTTTGTATCAGAAGATTATTTCTTTGTTGCATGCCTGTACCATTTCTGACTTTCCTCATTAAGTGGTCTAAGAAGGAAATCTCAAATGCAAATAAAATACCCCGATAATCAGAGCTCCTGCATAGTGACAGAGAAGCAGCAGCAGCAACTGCAGGGGTCATTCAAGATCAGTCCATATGCCCAGGACAAGAAATCTCTCTTCTGCAAAGAGCCAAGGGCTGTCCTAGCTTGCCAGGATATTTTAAAATGAATGACAGGTGGAACTGATCTCCTGGCCACCTTGTTTAGTTTAGAAAATTGCCCTCATTTACTCACTCCAAAATGATCTAGCTAATGAATGTTTTTAATGATTTATTTATTACTAGTACTAGTAGCTGGGCTGAGAGAGAGGGACTGAACCAAAGTCACCCAACTGGCTTTCATGCCTAAGGAAGGCCTAGAACTCATAGTCTCCTGGTTTCTAGGTCATCACCTTCACCACTACACCAAACTGGCTCTCCTTTAAAAACTTGTTGGAAAATGCATTGCCCTGCAAACTTGTCTATAAAAGCAAGCAGATAACTGCTCTGCTTGCGAATCCCAACCTTTCAAGGAGTCTTCTCAGATTGCAAGCTGCTGCTTCTAGGTGAATGTAATCCCACCCAGAACCGAGAGAACTGCTGCATTTGTGGAATGCTGCTACCTTGCAACCCAAACCCACTTCTTTGAATTTGGATTGTCCCATCCAGCCATTTAACACTTGTAGGCAGGCATTCAGGAGAGCCACCCAGAAATTGTTGTGCAGAAAAATACAGGAGATCATTCACTACTCCCCACGAGATATATTGTGTACCCAAGATATCTTGGATGGTCTGTCCCTGTACTTTTATATAGCAGAGAGTAAGGAAGTTGGTCTGGATGGAAATATTCAGGAACTGTTACCTAGCAAAAGGGGGTGAAGCATTTTTTTCGTCCAGGACAAGATAACTTTCAGAAGTGGCCCAGCTAAACACCTTCCTAATTCACTGAAGTACAGGAGTATTCCTTTCTTCTTTGGAGGGGCTAGAAAATATGGTTAGTTTAGGATAACAGGTAGCTCATATCTGAAGGTTGAGCAAGTTTAGTTTTTGCCCTTTCACACATCTCATGTGGCTTTCCTTTATTCTTACAAGTGCAAAGTTGTAAGAATGGCAAACAATGCAATATGTTATATACATATACATGACACACAGGTGTTCTTTCTCATTTTTAAATTGTAGGATAGAGGTATGTAGCCTTTTCTGGGCCAAGAGTCACCTTCTGGGCACTACTCTGAGGAGTTCACCTTTATCTTTACCTTTACCTCCAGCCTCCCACCTCCTTCGTAAGCAAAACCCACTCCTTCTATGCAGACATAGTGTTTTAAAAACAAATAATGATCATCCATACTTAACAAGTTTTAAAGAAAAAAAATGCCACTTGTGTTTGGCTAGATAAAATTTGAAAAGGCACCTGGTTGATTTATGAGATGATCTTGGCAAGGTGACTGGGGCATAAGAACAAATCCATCTTGGTTCTCCTCCTTACTGTGCTTTCATCGGCCCTATCAGGTTTTTTTTTTAAAATGCTGTGTCTATGTTTAAGTTGCTTGAGACTACCCCAGGAGCTGTGACCCACAGTTTGAAAAGTCCTGGTATAAAAGTTCTCCCTATGATTCCATCAAATCTGTATGAATAGCTACTTGCTTTTATTTGGTTCTGGTATGGAACTCCCTGAGACATGCATGTCAAGTGTCTAAGAAAAAAAAATTGAAAAGACATTGGGTTTGAATTTCTTGTGGAAATGCAATATGATAGAAGCTCATGTTTGTTGAGTTGTACCAATTTGAAATGTTCCCTTTTAGCAGAGAGCTTAGGACAAAAGAAGTAAGTGGCAACCAGCATTCAAAGAGGTAGTAAGAAAGGTAGGTTATTATCTTGGCTACATTTTTCTGGGCCAAGAGGTGCACTTCCCTTCTGAGTGGGGCTTGGAATGACTTTGTGGCATCCAGGCCTACTTTCACCTTTTCCTCAAGACTCTCACCCACATTTCAAGCAAAATCCACTCATTTTGTGCAGGCATAGGATAAATAAATAGATAGAGAATGATAGACAGATAGAGATAGATAGATAGAGAGATAGATTACATGGCAGGTTTCTGAGGGTAAAACAGTGTAACGTGTTAGCCTACATGATATTTGGAAAGGCACTTGGTTGATTTCTGAGTCACCATATAAAAGTCTTAGGATTCTCAATATTGGAGTCTATTATACCTCATTTAAGACACCCATACAGCATCCAGAGGGGAGTTGTCAAAGTAATGCAAGCAATAGGAAATTGTCTTAATGTCGGTATCAAAATATTCAATAGATTATGCCTTAATAAATTTTGGACTTCCTGGACCCCATGCATTTGTATAGGAAAAGAAAGACATTGTGTTGTTGGAGATAGAGTAAGAATAAAGCTTCATTAAATTATAAGGTTTTGCAATCTCCTAAAGCTACTATATTCTGTAAAGAAGTAACACACCTATATTAATTTAACTTTGAAACTAGGTTGAACATGTTCACATATCTGTATCTTGCTGAGCCATGTACCTTTTATATGGAAATTGAGGGCTAGGCAATGGATTCTTCATGCCCTTTTTATTGCTAAATGATTGGTCCTTTAACATTGGAAAAATAAATTTATAACCATAAATTTAAGACCTAAAGTTACTTGAGACTTATAAATAAGTTGTTTATGTGTGTGTGAGTGTATGCACATATGGATATGGATATGGCTTTGTATGTAGATATTTGGATTTGGCAACAGAGATGAATGTAGGTGAAGACTAATAGAATTCACAGAAATAAACATCTTTCCATCATGAATTTATATTACAAGAACAGGACAGCCTGAGAATGGACTTGAAAGACCCAAATGGCAGTATCAGTGAAACAGATAACATTTTGTCCAATAATTAATCCATTTTTGTTGGACTGTTCCATTCTCGATCAATTCAGTTTTGGCAGTGATCACTAATACACTCAACATTAAAAATTAACAACAAGCAGGAGAGGAGAAAATTGCTGCAAAATGTGTTCCATCTGAAATGAAATTTTTAGCACACTCAATGAACTGAACAATGAGAACTTAGCTAAAGCCACCTGCTGTATTACTGAAACTCTGACAACAGCAGCCAATGAAATGAATGGTACACTTACCAACCACAGTTGGGACCGGCAACTCCATCTCTAAGCAACATGGTCATAAAGTGAAACATCACATGACTACGCCTGACTTATGATGTCAGTTGTGGTTGTTAAGCGAATCACTTGCAATATGATTTAAGTGCATTAAGTGCAATGTCACATGACTGCAACTTGCGACTTCCTGCTGGCTTCCCCACTGACTTTGCTTGTCGGAAGCCAGTTGTGAAGCTTGCAAATGGTGATCAGGTGACCATGGGATGCTGTGACCATTGTAAATGCATGCTGATTGCCAAGCACCCAAATCATAATCACATGACTGCAGGGATGCCAAGATGGCTGCAAGTTCGAGGACTGGTTATAAAGCTACTGCTTCAGCACCTTTGTAACTTCAAACGGTCACTGAACAAGCAATTGGTGAGTGAGGAATACCTATACTAAGAAACACCATAAAAAATGCAAAATATCAGATGTCAGTAAATAAATAATGCAGAAATTATAATAACAGAAATTCAGTCAGAAACACTGTAGAATACACTGAACTAAGCAAAACCATTTCAGAATGATTAAAAGAAGATATTAGAAAGTACAACTGATAGCTGCTGAAGCCTGAAGAAGACAACAGAAAAATTAAGAGTTGGATAGAAATGACTTCAAGATCAAGAAATGGAACAGCTTAGTCACAACAAATCAGCAAGAAATCTTAAAATAAATCAAAAGACTTCTACTCTACATTATATGCTGACAGTGTAGGACACCTGGACTCCACCATCTAAATATTCCTGATATAATTCCACCAGAAGTAGAAGATGCTATTCGCAACTTGAATTATGCCAAAGTAGCTGACCAGGAGGGAATCACTGGAGATATTCTCAAACCAAGTGGAATTGAAACATACAAAATATTGTCAAAGTTGTTTACCTTCTGCTTGCAACAGAGAAACATCCCCCCATCATGAAAAGATGCCAAAGTCCTTATTATGCACAGGAAGGCTGATCAAGAAGATCTATAAAATTACAGACTATTAAGCCTTCTTTTGGCTCCGTACAAATTTCTCACATGAATTATTTCGAAATGGATCAAAGCAACACTGGGTTTTGCCCGATCAAGGGAACAAGTTGCTCTCAGGAGTGGATTTAGTGCTATAGATCATATACAAGTGGTTCAGCAAAGTATTGAACAT